CTAGTTAAAGAGAGACGCGGCTACTAACGCATGCATTGATTTACTGAACAAAAAATATTAATAAAAAGCATAAACACTGGTTAGTATTGTGTGTGAGTTTTGTTTGCATGAATTGTATTCTCTTGGAGTTATTCAAGAATAAAGCAAGAAAATCTCAGTTTTTTACTCCAAAATCGGTCAAAAAATCCCAACCCTCCTCTGTTTACTTAGCAACAATACAAATGAATGGAGGTTTGCCCACGCCCACGCTTCCGTTTCCAATCCCTTTCATTTACTCTATTATCTATGGTAGCAGCATAGCAGCAGTACGTACAGGACAGCATATCAGTTATTCATTGGTACATCTACTACTGACATAACTGAAGTCAGCAAAAGCAGTGTTTCTTCCTCACTGCTGTGCTGGATAATCCTTTTTTCTGATTTTAATGTTTAGAAAGAGATCAACAAAAATTTCTAAAAATGTTTTATTCTGATGCTGAAGGACTTGATTGTCTCTTTTCCTCAGAAAGAGCACTTCCATCAGAAAACTCTTCCTCTTCCTCCATCTCCTCCTCCTCTCCTTCACCTTTATCAGAACCACCTCCTAAAGAATAAAATAAAATAATAATAAATATAATAGTTATCAAGTAGTAGGAAGATGACAAATGTACTGGTATTAAAAATTCATTAGTTTTTGTAAACATTCAAAAGCTAAAGTTTGATTCAAACATTCATTCATTTTGAGTAGCAGAATAATTTTGAATTTGTTTCATGATTGCCTAATGCAGTAGATCTAAATGTAAATTCTTAGTAGTAATAATCAAAATTAATGTTTATTATTATTCATTAATTCCATTTACTTTTACGTGGAGGAGGAGAGACTGAGGGAGAGACAGAGGGAGACCTTCTCTTGTGCTTCTTGTCTTTTTTAGATTTCTTACTACTCCTCCTCCTCTCTGGACTAGGACTGTAGGAATAATCCCTCCCTCTATCCTTACATCTGAAATAATAAAAAATAAACAAGTAAAAATAATAAATAAAGCATTTCTTCTACCTTGATGATGATTTTCTTCTCAATGAATGAGATCTTGAATGGCTTCTTGATTGTGAGTGTCTCCTCCTATCTTTATCAGGTAACCTATAAACACAATGACAGTCAATATGTTGCTATGGTTACCAGTGATGATAGGAAGACCGGTGTGAGTGGTAGGAGTGAAATTTTCGCCCAAATCAGCTCAAACTTGCTACATAGCATGAGGACATCAATATGTATCAGAAAATGTTATAAAAATTGGGGGTCATTTTTTAGCCATTTTTCGGAAAAAACCATGGGCTATAGCCTTGGGTACTTTTCGGATTTTTGGTGTTTTCTTAAACTGGCCGTAACTTAAAAAATTGAAGTCGGAATCAGCTCAAACTTGCTACACAGCATAAGGACATCAATATGTATCAGAAAATGTAATAAAAATTTAAGGTGATTTTGGAGCCATTTTTTGGAAAAAACCATGGGCTATAGCCTTGGGTACTTTTCGGATTTTGGTGTTTTCTTAAAACGGCCGTAACTTGAAAATATGAAGTCAGAATCAGTTCAAACTTGCTATACAGCAGTGTTGTTGCAATTACATGATTTATTGTAATCATTACAACTGAATTACTGATCGAATTTACTGTAATCATTACAATTACAATTACTAATTGACACATGTAACCAAAAATGTAATCATTACAATCACTCAATTACAGCTCAATTACATGTCTTTTACAATAGATTTTTATTAACTTTCAAAAATACAAGGTTTTCAAAGTTTTTTGGTAATAAACAAGACCTGTCTGCAGATAATATTAATTTTTTCCTGCCTGGCTAAAAACTCTTTCAACAGGAGCTAGTAGCTAGTTGAAGTCATGTGATCATTTATCAGTGCATTTTACACTTGACTGAACATGAAAGAGCAAACAAAATGCTTGTACATTGTACAGTCAGTTTCACAAATTCACACTATTTACATGTACTGAAGTAATTG